GTTGTCGCCTCCCCGGGGCCCCCCCCCCACCCGCCAGCCATGGCTCGACCCCTCCAACCTTCCCTAGCTTGGAAGTGGCCAGTCGGAGAGATCGCCCTCTCTCCTGGGACCCTGAGGGTACACATGCTCCCTGAATAAAGACCAGGCTGGCAGAAGAGACTTTGGCTCCGCAAAACCATGGGCCAGGCCCTGCAGAGGCGTGTGCACCCCGCCCCACCCCCACTCCCATGAGGGTGTGCAGGAGCAGAGAGCGGGCTTCACGCCGCCCTCTCACCTGCCCATTTAGCTGCCCGTCTGCTGCCCCCCACGACGGTCTAGAGAACCCTCAGGAGCTGTGAGACACAGCCCCTCGCCTCGTTCCCTCCAGCCCGCTGCCCTAGGCTTCCCTGGGTGCCCGCTCTGGTTGCACGCTCCCAGGGACCCATCTGCCCAGGCCCTCGGGGATGGACTCCATTCTCCCTCGAGACGGGAGTGAAGTGGGTACGTCCCAGCCTCCAAGTAGGAGGGACCCAGGGTTCCTTCCTCAGGACCCAGGGCTGTTCTAGGTGGCCAAGATGGGGCCCACGGGCTGGCCCCGGAGGAGAAGCGCAGATCCTGAGCCATCCAGGCCCCTGTGGACCGGTGCCAGTGCCGGGCTGGACTCGTCTGCTGGCCTGCAGCCCCATGTCCCTGGATGAGCCCGAGATGGAGGCAGGCTGCACCCCTAGTGAAGGTGGCCTGAGGCTGAGCCGGCCCTGCACGGGCCTCTGGTCAGACCTGGGGGCCCTGTGCCACGCCGGCAGCCCTCATGGTGCCACATCTCGTGCTGGCAGGAGAGCCCGTTGCTGCCCCTCCCCCCAGGAGGATGCTGGGAGCCAGGTATCAACACCCAAGAACCATCCAGACTCCTGCTGCAGCTGAGCCCAGGGGAACTCCACTGTATATGGAAGAGCCTTCATTCTCATGCACAATCACTCCATGAGACAGACCCACCTTAGCACTCTCCTGGCACCCTTACCGCTTACCGGAGGCCCTCCCTCCTTGCCCCTGCCCTCCTCCTTCCCACCTGGTGCCTCTGTGGGTGACCCAGGCGGGAGGGATGGTGTAGGAGTGGCTGGGGCCTCTGTTGTCCCCAGAAGCAGATTTGAAAACAAGGTCCCAACATGCAGAGGTGGGGTGGGAGAGCCCAGAGCCCTCTGAGGTGGCTGCTGTGAGGGGACACAGAGCCCAGGGCCCAGAGTGGGGAAGTTGCGGTCACATGGCTGAGTTCAGGGCCCTTCCCTCTTCACAGGCCATCGCGGGCTCCCCTGCACCCGCGCAGCAGCTCCAAAAGCCATAGGAGCCGCAGGGTGACACTAGGGCTGCCCGTGAATTCTGAGGGTGCCATCTGGCCCCCATGCAGGGCAGCAGAGCTCTGCATTCCAGGGGGGGGGCAGAGAGCGGACCCTTGTCACTGTCAGCTCAGAGCCGGGCTGGTGGCTCTGAAGACCAAGGCATGTCCTCCAGCTGTACCGTCCGATGTCCCCTGTGGCCCGGCCGAGGCTGAGAGCGACAGCTCCAAGTGGTGGGCACAGGGCACCGAGGACTCAGGGCTCCTGGGCGGGGCCGAAGGGCCGCGTCCACTTGGACACGTCCAGGAAGATGGAAGAGGCCCCGTGGTAGAGCCAGAGGCGGGGGAGGGCGCCGTGGCGCGTCCAGGCATCCCGCACGGTGTCGTAGGCCTCCATCTCCACGTGGTAGTCGCCGTCCATGCCCTGCCAGCGGCCGCCCGTCACGTAGAGCGTGTCACCCAGCGGCACCAGTGCACCGTTCTCATGCAGGCTGTGCTGGGACTGCACCTGTGGGCAGTGGGAGTGGGTGGCCAGGGCGGGACAGCAGAGGGTGGCCAGGGCTCCCTGGGGTGTGCACGCCCACGCCCTGCTGCCTCCTCCGACTGTCCCTGTCCCAGCAGGCCGTCGCCCTCTCTGTGCTGCCCAGGATGGCCTTTCCAGCCTCCGGGGTCCGAGGGCGCAGAGGCACCCAGGTCCGAGCGCCAGCTGCTCCAGCAGTGCCTGGGCTGAGTCTCGGCGTCACTCAGCGCAGACGGGGCGGCTTAGCCCCCACAGACACTGGGGAGGGCTGAGCCCCTGAGGGGTTCCTGGCACCACGCTGAACCCGTGCTGTGGAGAGGGGTGCGGGAGCAGCTTCCAGAGGCCAGAGAGAGGCGTGGCACTGGTGGGAAGGCTGGGGTCTGGCTGTGGGCTCCACGTCAAGATGGTTCAGGGTGGCTGGCCCAGGCCCAGGGAGGAGGGCAAAGGCACCTGCACTGCTGGGACCCTGGCCCAGAACGGTGGCATGGGCATGAGAGAGGCCTGCCGTGGCCAGATGGGAGGGCCCCAGAAGAAGTCGGCGTGGCAGGCCCACCCTGCACCTGTCGCACGCTGTAACAGGGCCTCGGGTCAGCTGAGCACTGACGCCAGGGGACAGCTGCGGGCAGTAGGGTTGCAGACACCCTGCTGTCATGGCCGACTGGGACAGCCTCTGGGTAGCGCACCTCTTAGCCTCCAGGGGCTGAGGGTCTTGGCAGATGGGCATGCCAGAGCTGAGACCCACAGGACCTCCTGGGCACCATCCCTCCTCCTCCAGGGAGGCTGCCCAGAGAACAAGGAGAGGCCTGGGCTGGGTGCCCTTCGGCTGCTGTCTGGACACAGCCATCTCCCACCTTCCCCTGGGGCCTGTGGCCAGGAGGAGCATAGGGGACGGCACTGGGGGAGGGGGGCCAGCTGCTCCCACCACACCCACAGCTGGGCCCCCCCAGGGCGGGAGGCTCACCCCTTCCTGGTCAACACAAGGTGTTTCTTTTAGTTCCCAGTTGTCCCCGTAGCACGTGCCGCTGAGCTTGGTCTCCCCCACAGAAGGACAGGCCACCCCCTCCAGGAAGACGGGGTGCAGGGGCGGAGCAGGGGTGGTGAGCAGCAGCCCCTGACCCCACTCCTGTCGTAGTCGCCTCCCCCATCCTCATGGGGCTTGGGCCGGGCACAGCTGTCGCCCCATTTTCGGGGAGAAGTTGGAGGCCTTTCCCTCGCTGTTGGCCTCTGCGGGCAACACCCCACTCCCAAACCTCAGCCTCCAGCCTGCTGGGTCCCAGGCGGGTGTCCCTGCGGAGGGGCTCGGGGGGCTCACCTTCTGCCACAGGTTGGCCCCGGGGTCGTACACGTAGACCTTCTTGGTGTTGTCGCCGATGAGGTAGAGCGCCCCGTGCAGCGCAGCGCAGCGCGGGGACGACAGGTACTTGGGCAGGAAGGGTGAGGCCACCACGCTCCAGGCATCTGCGGGGAACAGCACCGGCCGCTCCACCAGGTGCAGGGCCGCCTTCCAGGGGAGGTGCTGAGGGACCCCACGCAGGGACGCAGAGCAAAATGCTGCTCCCGGCCTCGGCCCCCTGGCCTTGAACATGGGGGCATGTCCTGGGGTGTGGTTGTGGGACCCCACAGCCCTGTCTCACAAAGCCGGTGGATGCACAGGGGTCCCTCCAGAACCTCATCCTCAGGAGGGAACCTGCCTGGGACTTCGGGGAGCCCCAGGGGCTCTGCCCCCAAATCCCAAGCCTGGGACAGGTGGCCCGCCTGGACTCTGGGCCCTGTCTGTTTCTCACACACTCACACTGCGGGAGGGCCCAGTCTTCTCCACCATCCAGAGGACAAACCAGGGTCAGAGACCAGACTGGGAGGTCCGCTGAGTCTGAGAGGGCCACGAGTCCTGGAGGGTCACTGAGGCCTGGAGCGCCACGAGGCCCGGAGCCACGCTAAGGCTTAGAGCCCCCCGGAGTGCAGGCCTGCAGCTCCAGCCGCCTGGGCTATGGGCGCTGGGCGGGGGTCATAGCTCCTGGCCCACGGGCCGGTTTCAGGGCCTGGAGGCTGGGCAGCTCTCAGGAGGGCTCTGGGCTGGGCACCCCTGCCACTGGTGCCCTTGTCCCCCGAGTCCTCAGGCCCCAGCCTTGCCCCGCTGTCCCACCCACTTGGACAGGACTGTGGCCTTCGTAGGAGCCTGCTGTCCACTCTTGTCTCAGTAGCTCCACCCCCACTGTGACGGGATTGTAACCCTGCGGAGGGTCCTGGGTCACCTGTGCCCTGTCCCCGGGCCATGACCAACCTGGCACACTGCCCACCTGTGACGGGGTCGTAGCACTGTGGGGAGGGATGGGTGACCCCAGTCCCCGTGGCCCACCTGTGACGGGACTGTAGCACTGTGGGGAGGGACAGGTGACCAATGTGTGACTGGTCTGTAGCCCTGTCCCCATGGCCCACCTATGACAGGGCTGTAGCACTGTGGGGGGGCAGGGGCCCACGTGTGACGGGGCTGTGGGGACAGGGGCCCACGTGTGACGGGGCTGTGGCACTGTGGGGGGGCAGGGAGCCCACGTGTGACGGGGCTGTG